AAAAAAAAAAAAAAAAAAAAAAAAAAAAAAAAAAAGGTATATGTTTTAAAAGACTTTCGGCATCGCCCCTTAAATGAGTCTTTAAATAATGCAACTTCCGTACGTCATCCAAAGAATTGTTGTTGTGTATCAAACTAATAAACAAATCGCGAAAACTTATCCAGTCCGCATAATTGCCAGAGAAAATCGGCAGCTCTATTTTTGGTAATTTAACAGACGAATGTGTATTTATGTGCTTTGATTGACGTTCAGAATTTTCGACAGAACTACAAGTTGCCATATTTAATTTTTTTAACAATTCTTTCAGTTCCGTTTTCAAATCAAGATACAACTCTTTGGTTGTCTCGTATAAATTAGTCGTATTGTACTCCAACCTTTCAAACTCGGTCGGTTTAACCGAGCTGACAATTTTGACATGATTGTCAGAAAAAGATGACCATTCCGTTTCTAAATTTTCTAATCTTGTCTCAATGTAAGAAACTGTTATTCTATCCTTTGCAGACTTCTTAAAGTTTACTTGAGCCTTGGCAATGGTAGAATGTAAATTACGTTGCACATTACTTATTGCTTCCATGATGACACTGACGTTGACAATGACAACTTTAAGTCAACGCTTGTCAATAACAAAATTGTTCAAACACTCACGTCACGAAGCGGTCTGACGTCGTTGCGTCAATATATGGACTCCTTTGCCAACACTGCTTGCGTATATGTCCCAAGTCCAATTCCGCTATAGGTTAAGCGGTGTCTTGGTAGCGCCATCTAGTTTGTCCAAGTCCCAACATACTCTTCCTTGTATGTAATATCTTCAAAGCTGAAATTTTCCACCGTCGGACCACAGTACACTAGTCCAAATCCGGCTCGCTAAGGACCATGTAAAGCGGTCTCAAAAAGGTCTCCCTCTCACTGGAGAAGTATCGAGTAGTCACAATGAAACTGGTTATATCTTGGTGCGAGTCAACTTTATTTAAATGCGATTGGCAAGTCGATAAACATACCAAATAAATCTATATCGTGATCTAGTAATATGTTCCGCCATCTATTGATATAATAATGTAAACTATATTGACATAGCGTTCAACACGGGTCAATAGTTTTTGTTCCTGCTTTTAATATAATATTAGTTATTAGACCTTGTTTTAGATTTTCTATTTACATATGTACATTTATACAACGTCTCTTTATTACGGTGAAGAAAAACATTGGGATGCAATCAGCAATCAACTCGCATTACGCCAGCGTGGTTGACTATGGCCAAGTCACCGCTTACTTAGGCTATGAACTCCTCAGTCGGGACCTATAGTGAGTTAATGATGATGAAGAAAAGTATAAAATTCTTAATTATTTTATTCTTTACAAGGCAAAGGGTGGATAATTTGTAGAATTTGGCTTAAAATCTATAAGTATTTGGTTCAAACAATCCACGCTTTCTTGATTCTTGACGCTTTTATAACGACTTGGTTGGTATTATAACTAGACTTCAAATGATAGAAATATTCAAGTAACAATTTTGTTTATTAACTTAAATATTACAATGTTCTAATGAACTTCAATTTCCCGTGTCGTGATGAGATTATCTTCATCACAAACGTCTATATCTTGGCATTCTGGCTTGAATGGTAATTCAGTAGATGTCATGGCTTTCTGAAAAAAATACTTGCTTTATTTATTTGTCATAAATCATTGAATTCCATTCGCATTCTCTTCTGAAATATCATAGCGTTCAGTCAGTTGAACTAAATTCAAAACTAACTACTATTTACTTAACTTAGCTAAGAGTTACCTAAGTTATTTTGTTTACAACTTTAGGAGAAATATTAATGCAAGCGATAAGTAATCGACAAAAACTAATTTTTTTACTTTTAAATATTTTTTTTTTCATTTTACGTAATTCGATTTGTTAAAAAATTAAATTGGATTAATTTGTAGAAATTCTGAGTTTGTTAAAAAAATACTGTAATAACCACGCTATATATTTATTATTCTATAACTGTGTTGTGTGCTTACATTTTGAACTCCTGTGCCACCCGAGCTCGTAGTGACATCGTTTGCTCCAGAAGGCGCCGGTCTTTTCTATAATATTGTACACAAATAATCTTATCATTAACATTAAACTTGTTATAAACATACTAACTTTATACCAAATATTCAGGTTTTAAATTAGTTGGTCGATTTTAGACAACAAAATAAGTCTGAAAGTTCAATAATATTTATAATGGACTTACCACACTTTTTCTTAATTCGTCTTCCCTTTTCTCTTGTATTAATTTCTTTTTCGTGTTCCTATTAAAGAAGCTAATCTGAAAACGAGAGAAAATCATTTTTATAGAAAGAATATATCTGCCGCACGCGACTCCGTCCGTGCGAAATTAAAAAAACATACTTAATTAGTAATCTATGTTCTCTTCCAGACTATGTTATTTCAGCCAGATAAATGCAGCCGTTTCAGGTATATATACAAACAACTATACATACAAACATTCGCATTTATTATATTAGTAAGATGATTTACCTTACGTAGAATATAAATGACAAGAGCTAATATTAATAATGCCACTATGACCGCTATTGCTATGATTAATGGCTTGTTTTGTCCAATTGATAGCTCCTTGTTGTACTTGATAACTGTAGTCAATCTAAAACAATCATTAAATAATTTAGACAAATATAAAAATTTAAGTAATAAGTCTTAGATTCCAATTACGTTTTAAATCCTGTATAATTTTGATAAAATTCAATAGCCATCATTCCTGTAACATTTGAGCTGAGAGATAATTAACGTGAATTTTTGTGTGAACGACATTATGCAAAATAGCTGCACGACAATTCATTAAAAAAATATTTTATTACTCACGAGAACACTTTCTTTGTTTCTGTAGGAGTCAAATACAACTCCAGACTTGAAGTTACATTTAGTGTGTCTCCAACTCGATATTTCTCTGAAAATATTTATGTTAATAATAAACTAGCAGTCGCCCTCGATTACTACAACGCAAAAAATAACCCTAATAATGGCATATGGGCTACTTTTTGCCATGCATCAATTGCCTTCCCGTCAAAGTCCTTTAAGTTCAGGAATTTCGAAGTTTACCTGGATATTACAGATAGACAGATTTAAAAAATGTTTTTCGTCATAAGTAAAGTAAATACATCGTGTTCACGAAATATGACTTTTAATACAATCTAATTTCATTAATCGATACACATGCCCTATTACGTTTAACAGTTTAATTATTTGGAATATTATATAGTCTAATTTTCTTAGTTCTAAAATCTATTAAGAAACGTTAAGCATTTAATTTTTAGGGTTTCTCAAAAGGAAAAAACGGAACCCTTATAGGAGCACTTTGTTGTCCGTCCGTCTATGAAGACCCTCTCTCAGGAACGCGTGGTGAGATCAAGCTGGAATTTATTTTCAATTAAGATTAATTTTATACAAACCAACGTCTTCTTCCATTATTATTGTGGATGGAATAATTTTATATATAGAATTCGGTTCCAAAGTTAGTACACATATATATGTCACCTCTTTATTTGTATCTTGTCTGTCACAGTCCGTTGTTACAGAAGTTTGGAATATCTATAATAAAACATGATTAGAAAAACAATATCTCACATTTTCAAATCAAATGAAACAAGATAAAAAAATGACTCACTTTATATTCTTTAATAAAGATTTGATTCCCCCATTTAATAATAGCACGGACATTATTCCACAGTATGCTGCCATTGTTTATAATCTGCGAAAGAAATTATTGCTTTATCTTACCATCTACGACTTGACACACTTATATTTATAAAATAATCAATAGAAAACGGATACGGATATTAAACAAACTTTTATTAAGTTTACTGCTAAATATTAAGTAAATCATAAATACAAAATAAATATAATTACCATGTATTCATGAGCATTTTCACAAGTTTCCACTGACTTATCCAGCACGTCACTGTCAGTAATCACTCGGTCACGTGACGCACTGAAAAAGGATACGATTACACCTTTAGCTCAAGTCTTAGTTACCTAAAACTATTCTTATGAAATCACGAAAAATTTTTTTGAGTTATTATACGACTCAAATCTTAATATCGCTATTTTACAATATCGTTCTTGACGAACCAAGTCTAATGCCAATACTAAGCAGTCAAATTAAGAGAAACAAAAGAATGAAGCTACAATAATACGCTTAGAAAAAAAAATTGGTAGGATTTTTTGGAACACCATTGAACCCTAAACAATCCCCATAGATACTGCATTAGAAAAAATCATGGTCCCAAAAATAGGTTTTTAACCTAAATATAAAAAACGAACACGTAAAAGTAAGAAAATAAACATTTACTAATATATTTATATTAATAGACTATATTTACCCATTTACTGCAATTTCTTCAGCGTCCAATTCTAAAGGTACGATGAGTTGCTTTTCTTGGTATTGGGTTTGCATAACGCAGCTGCTGTTATAGAATTTCACATCAAACACTAAAGTATTAACATCGTTTGACGGGCTACTCATGTCTATAGGTAATTTTAAAATATGCTGGAAACAAAGTTTTGGTATCATTTAAATTATCTGAAAGAGAATATATGCAAAAAAGAGACTAAATTCATATGACCACTGAAAGACATGTAGAGTACGTACTGTCCCAACCTTTCATAGAAAAAACGGGAAGGATAAGTCCGCAAAATTTATAAAAACCTGACTGTGAATTATTGAATTAAATGTTTTTAGGTTACCTCTTCATTTCTCTTTATCGGCAATGGTAGTAAACACTTAAACGTTCCGTCTTGTTCGTCGCAAGTGTTCCTTCCCACGCGCCCTCCGTGGATCCTCAAATAAACGCATGTCTGCACGTACGAATTGTTGCCATAGTTCTTGAAACGCATTATCACTTCCTCCGACTTTGTAGATCCCAACTTGTATGTTTTACTAAAATCGTGTACTTTATAATTCCTTCTAACAATCATCGTACTAGTATTATAAATGTAAAAGTTAGAACGGATGGATATATAATTGTTAGAAGGTATCTCCGGAACGGCTGAATGGATCTTAAATTTTTCAAAGTTTCTTGAGATATTATATTAAACTTATTTAAAAACGGCTAAAACACTCACGTATATTCGTCCGGTGGCGGCACCGACTAATTTCGAGCCCATTGGGGGCCCTTCATCAGGATGAGTGGGACTGGTATTATATACGTGAGTGTTTTAGTCAATGGATCTTGATGTAATTTGGCACAGATCTAGAGAGGTTCGCGACAGCTAGTTCTTAATATAAATTTTAAATATATACTCTTTAACCTTCAACTTTTGTTACTATCGATTTTTTTGAGTTTTGTAGTTCTTCTAATTAAATGTCATATTAAACTGTTATATTTAAGAACATAATTATAAAATTTTTACCTTCCAGACCACTCGAGTGTCATGTTCAATTGTGGTAAGCAGCTCTCGCCTGAACATCGCCGCTCAATGTCCAGAGATGATGTCGGATTTTCTGGATAAATTACCACCGACGACGGATCAAATACTGAAAAGAAAACAATGATTTGATTATTTTTGGTTACTATTTTAACTTTATAAATGAATCATCCCCACCATCATCATCATCGCCTCTAACGTAGTGTAGGCTCCAAGCCCTAATGTGGCGGCGTACTGTGTACAGCTGACGATGATGAGATTAATCATATGTGCATCATTATAAAATTTCGAAAAAAGTTTCTGTTATTATCTTGTATTTTAAAGGCTGGTTATATGAATAGAATGTAATTAGAATAAATTTTTTACCGTCATTTTGTACCATCATTGTCTCGTCTAATTTTACTGAAGTCGTAAACTTGTAAGTACCAGGTTCATCATTACTCTGAAAAAGAAAATACTTGGATGATAAATGAATAAACCTTAAAAAATAAATATGTTTTTAAGGAAATAACGAATATTTTCTTCTCCTACAGAAGATGAACAGTTTTGATTGGAGCGAATGTGAAATAAAAATGGAATTTTAGGCAAAAATTTAAAACAATGGACTTACAATATCAACGTCAACATCAATTACATATTTTGTGTTAATTCTTGATAAAGTAATTGTCTTCAATTGTTGGTCGTCTCTTATTTGTACACCATCACCCACAACACTGTTTTCAATCAACAAATCTGAAATATGGATTCAAAAGCTATTAAGCTTTAAAACCTTTAGAAAATTTGTATTACATTTGTACAGCGCTTTTACCGGACGTAAAGTAAAACAAAAAATCTGATATGGATTTTGAAATATTTTGTCGATAACGTTACGCAAATATATGTGATAGACACTCACATGTGACATTTCTTTTTATAATTTTGGATCAAACTAACTGAATTGTGCCAACATCAAGCTATTTCTACCTTATGGGGATTAACGCCACTTTTGTTTCTTAATTTAGCATGATTAAAAAGTATAATATTGAATACATACTTCCAGTGATGTTCAGTGGCTTTTCATGAATGTTTGTATCAATCACCACGCGAACCTTAAAATTCTTTGCCTTTATTCGAACCACCTAAAATAAATAAATTTCAAAATAAAAACTTTATAAATATAGTCATCGTCATATAAGGGTTGGGGACAGACAGGCAGCTGGCCGTAAAAAAATAAGTCAAAACTTTATGGTTTATAAAAACATGGTGCACCAACCCCACGTAAGTGGGATAGGGCCAAGGAGATGATGATAGTCGTTAGGTATAAAAATTAGTAATGAATTACGTGGAAGATGTTAAATAGCAAATGACAATAGAAATATCGGTAGTTGATGACGAAAAGATTTACCTGATCACCAACGAGTTGTGAAGATACAGTCACCTCTACTGAAGGTATCCCTCGATACAAAATTACGCGCGAGCTCTCAGGACAACCCACAGCCAATTCTGTACAAAAGTAATAAAATACTATTAAAAAATCAGCCGCCACGCCACCCCCGTAAAATATAGAATTTTAAATAAATGTGGTAACTATAAAACATTTTAAAATGCACAGGGCTCTTAATGCGATGATGTCAAAGAGGCTTGATGCCATATAATAACATAATTACGTAGATTTTTCAGTGCTACTGCCAAAACAAATCTACGCAACATGTCATTTCCCCTTTGTCTACAAAGATAATGAGAAAGATGATAAAATCTTTCTGCAATCAAAAGTCACAGTAAGCTTATTCTACGTGGGCATTTAAATTAAACATACCGTCAGCTCCATTATTATCTATATCATTGATAACTTGTAGCGTGACTCCGAAGGACTTGAAGTCTTCGTTCTGAATTCTTTGTGTCGACACAAACTGTGAGAGGGACATTGTTTCTGTCTTAAAATCGTTGCCTTTCATACATTTCTTGTTCAATTCTTTTCCATATATGATGTACACGGCGCCATTACCAAAGTCTTCGTAAGGAGCACTCACAATCACCTCTGCAAAATTTATTTCGAAGATAATATAAAAGTAAATAAAAGCATCGTACAGAACACTTCTTCAAATTATTTTCCTTTGTTAATCCTAAAAAATGATGTAAGTTGCGATCTTCTTTTGCAAGGCTAAAGGTCGACCCCATGAAAAAAATCGAGCCTACATTCCACTTAATATGTTTCGCTCATTAACGTATAGTTCACCGGTAACTTTTATTGAAACATTCCACTTCAGGGATGCAAACATTATTCTTCTAAGTACACAACCAAGATGTTTAAAATAATTTTACCTGGGAAACCGTCTCCGTCGACGTCAGTCGAAGCAATAGCACTACCAAACCTCGCGCCCACTTTATTGCCAACAATTAACCGCGTTCTGTTCCTGCTTCCGATAGTGGCCTTTGAATAGTTTATGAAAGAAAGTTTTATAAATAATTTTCAATTTTAGGGTTCCGTACCTCATAGGAAAAAACGGAACCCTTATAGAATCATTTTGTTGTCCGTCCGTCTGTCTGTGAAGACCCTTTTTTGTTAATGAGTACATTTCGTAGTAATTTGTTGATTTCTTTTTTCGATTTTTACAGGAGTTTAGAACTGAGACATAGAGAGTGTTAATAATGAATGAATCTAACAAGATAATAGCAACTTACCAAATCTCCCCCTATATAGATATACAAAGCGCCTGTTTCATAGGCATCGTCTTCATAATACGCGGGTGCCCCCACCAATAGTTCCGTGTATCCGTCAGAATTAATATCCACCCCAAGCATCGCTGAGCCGAACATTGTGTTGATCGCTTCAAAGTCGATGCTGATACGTGGCACCAAATATAGTTTTTTATTTTTATATCTTAGAAATGATATCTGTAAAATCATATTGACTTAATAAAATATCTCTCATTTTTCTTCAGACTAAGATAAATGGAAAGAAGAAGTAAATGTAATGGCAGAAGAAAATATTTCATTTTTCTATATATCTTCTCTGTCTACATTCGTCTATATTATCTTCGCAATTTTTACAGAACCAATTGACTGCTCGCTCATCAGCGACCTTTTAATTATTAAAAATATTAACATACCTTTCCATATGTGTCATCTGTTCGCATACTAAATGCATACAATGTTTGATTTACACCAGAAAAAAGGAACGTTCCCAATGCAAGCGCAGATCCTGAATACAAAAGGAGAGACATCTTACTTCTTACTAATTTTATAAATGCGAATGTTTGAATGGATGGACGTTTATTTGAAGATATCTCTAGAACGTTTATATGGATCTCGCTGAAATTTGGCTTAAATGTAGAACAGTCTGGATGATCACATAAGCTACCGATTAGGTTTTTATAATAATGCGCGGACGGAGTCGCTGTGGACAGCTAGTGTTTCATACAAGTAAAAGCGTTGCTTTAGGCTTACGAACTAGTGATTATTTTAAAACTATAATTTAAAGAAATAATTCTTTTAATGTACAGACTAAACTTATAGTTTCTTAGTAAAGTGAACCACAAAATTACAGTATAGGGTCCTTTGCCCTGCTTATTGGCGTTAATGCAGTACTCACCAATATAACGGAATTTATTGACCATAGTTTGAAACCGCGAGGTACTACCAAGGTTCTCTATTGACCATGAAGGCTTTAGAGGATCTTCACTTGAAATATAACTAAAGTAGCCTCTGTCAAATATCTTGGATAAAAGTATCAAATGATTGCTTTGATCATATAATGAAGTCCAACCAAGTCCATTACCAAAAGAATCTGTGAAATAGATTTCAGTGTAAAATAACAACTGAAGAGGGCAATATTCACAATATTATTATTAAGGTTTTACTGTAATTTAAACTATTTATAATAGGTTACTGGGAGGTTGTACCATTACATTGTACTGTCGAAACATACTGGTATTTAAGCATATTGGTTTCTCTCTTTTTTCGGCATTAAGAATATTGCAATCTTCTGAAATAGCGAAGTGACCGTTGCCCATTGACATACGCAATTGCATGTGCGTTGCCTACTTTTAATCGACGGAGGAGAGGATGCACAAAAAGAAATTATTTCCTTTTCCATGCATCCTCTCATCCGGAATGTCACTTCCACTTCCCATCATTTTCCTTATAAGAAAAAGGGTGGAAAGGGAAAGAGGACTAAATTAGACCTCCGGGACGCAAACTCATCAGACGAAACGCGGAATCGCTTCCACTTCACGCCTGTCTTCTGTGTGGTCGTGGTATTTCACCGTGCAAGCGGGGCCAATTCGTGCGAAGATGTTAAAACGGGCTCTACCACTGTTAAATCCTAGCTATTTTGAATCTTTTATTGTTTATAGTTATTACTTACGTCTATTTATCTTGTGTTCTATGAATTGTTCGTAAGGTCCATTATAAAGATATGCTGTTTCATTGTAAATAAAACATGTACCATACGAGCTGGAGGTAACACCTGGTTCAATTTTATCGTACGATGACTTCCAAAATGGGGCACAAGTCTGTAATAAATTTGTAACAGCTGAACAAAGTATGGTATAATCCATTCATTGCTTTTTGTAAATATAAATCACTAAATAGAAATTTTATTCGGTTAATTAAAAATAACACACAAACACATTTTATAGTATTATAGATAATTTAGCGATACTATTTTTATTTTCATCTTCTTCATCAGCTCACTATATACATACGTCCCCACCGAGAGGCTCCGGGCCTACCCTAAGTTAAGAGTGATTAGGTTATAGTCAACCACGATGGCCAAGTGCTGGTTGGTTGACTACACTCCTTTGAATTTCTTCTCAGATATTCTTCTAAGAACGTCGGATAAATGTACATATGTAATCGGAAATCGGAAATTGATAAACACATTGGTACATGGCGGGATTCGAACCCAGGACCTGCAGATTGCAAGTCAATTGTTTGACCTCTGAGCCACCGACGCTCCGTTTTTTACTTTTATACGAGTTCTACAAAAATAACTTACCAAAAAGTAGTCGTCCGTCGCAATAATTGACGCACCAAGACAGTAATGTCGATCGGGATAATCTTCTAAAAATAAAAATAGAACTTGAAAACTTGACATTAATTAGAATGCCTGGATTACTTCTGCTTGTAACGGTCATAACAATTCTTTCTAAAAATTGCTTCAATTTTCTACAAAGTCGTAGTCATTGTTTTAAAGAAAATATCCAGAAAAACGAAAGGTGGGAACACCGAGGTGATCTTTAACGTCCGCAACTTTAGAGGAACTGAAGATACATTGCCCAATTTTGAGAAATAAAATATATCTGCGTCTTGAAGGACTCTAAATGGTACTGGCCATTAATAGCGGCATCTTTTTTTATTTTAACGGTTCCTCTGTTGAATCATAAGACCCTAAAGAATACCATAAAAAAGGTGAAAGGGATACAAAAAAGATTAGATAATTCCAAATAAGTTGTGCTTTTATAAATAAGTTTGATTATTTCGTTGGGATCTTGGTAATCTTACTAATATTATAAATGCGAATGTTTATATGGATGGATGTTTGTAGGCCTCTCCAGAACTGCTGAATGAATCTCGATTAAATTTGGCATACATAGTCTAGAAGAACAAATAGGCTACTAATTATGTTTTTTTTAATTTCAGGAAGGAGTCGCGGGTGACAGCTAGAATTTTAATAAGAGAAGAATACAGTACCTCTAGTAGAATTTACCGTGAGTCCTTCCACGTCTATGTTAACTTTTTTACAGACGCCGTTGTTTTTCAACATATCTTCAATAGCACATGTATATACTTGTCCGTTTAGATCGCTGTACGGTGCACCAATCACTATAACAATTGGAATATAGCTTAAGCAAATATATCATTGGTGGCCAAATTCTGGTGATTAAGCCTTAATATACTGGCCTAATCACCCTTAACTTATGGTAGGCACCGAGCCCTAGGTGGGGACGTATTGTGAGCTGATGATGATGACGATACTAACTTTCTGCAGATTAATTGGCTTAATTTTAATAGAAAAAATAAAAATAAGACACAATGCACCACAGACTTACCCAATTTTCCTGATTTTTGATAACCTATTGAAAACCCAAACGCCATATTTTCTATATTTTCTGATGGAGTTATTTCTATTGACGATGGCTCGTGAAAAAGTACCCCATGAACCATATTAATAACTATGCATATAATAAATAAAGATATTGTATGCATTTTAAAAGATTGAAATAAATTTTAACTACATTTGACTGCGTTATGACTCCGTACTAAATGTACTATGTCGACTGTTCCAAAAATAACTAAATCATGAGTAATATTAGACCTTGTTATTATTAAAGAAAACAATCAAAGAATAAAATTATTTATATCCGAAATTGGATGGAATTTTTTACCTACAATATTTAATTTTTATCAAAGAAAGATTTAGACGTTGTAAAGTAAAGCAATGCAATTTGTCTTCTAATAACAGCTTACCTATTTCAATCGTAACAAAGTATAAGAACATGTTGTCTCTTTTTGATTTAAACAGAATGAGAGAGTTAGCTATATTGCTAAACATGGGTTACGATGGGGACAACTCGCAATGACATTTTACTAATATTATAAATGCGAATGTTTGGATGAATGGATGTTTGTTTGGAGGTATTTCCGGAACGACTCAATTTAGAACATAATCTAACACATAAGTTACTTATTAATTTAAACCACGCGGACGAAGTCGCGGGCGATAGCTAGTTTAAACATAAGCATAAGACCAAATAGCAAAAAATTAAGACGAAGACGACTCCACATATTTTACTCGGAAACTGACTTAATTTTATACCTAAATTCGCATCTATCAACCGACATATATGTAGAGGAAGGAAAACAATAAAATAATCAATTATTCCTTAAAACATAGTATGAGTTTAGTTCAAATGTGCGTCAACAGTCACTGTGATATTATATTTATTTTAGTAATTAAACACAGGATGCATTGTAAGTAAATAATTTGTTATTTAATTATGCGATTTGAACAAATCAATGCTAAATTAGCAAAAAAGGTGTTATATTTTTTTAGAGACTGACGAAAGAAGTCGTGGAATCACATTGTCCGAATGTTCATATAGAGACCGACTGAGATTCCATAACGAACTTCAAAAATGTATAGAACTGACATCAACTTATGTGATTGTCGCGTGTCAGTTCAATACATTTTTGATATTCGTTTTGGAATCGCTTCGAAACGATGGATGATGCGTAAAATATTTAAAAATATTTTACTTAGAGATATGCAAAAGTAATAACTTATCTTTTATAAGCGGAATTCAAGATTGGTTGGTTGTCAGCTATATAGAAATAAATATATAAAAATATTGTCTAAAATGTGTAGATAATATTAAACCAGTTGATATGGAATAGCTCTTTGATTCGACAACTGCCGTGCATTAAAAATACTTCACATGGCGCAGTCAGTTAGAACATGCATATTAATCCACGACGATTATTTATTACAGATGCAAAATGGACGGCTGTTTTTGTTCAAATACTTATTATACCAAACTTTGCATTCTATCATATAAAATCAATGAAAACAATTGTCCCAACAAAGAATCTATATTTATCTAAAGATTCATACTTTGGATATAGTATCACTTATCAACCATATATACGAAGGTAATATTATTTTTATAACTATACTAGCTGCCGCTCGCGACTCTATTAGCACGTAATTAAATTAACTGAATTAGTAGCCTATGTTCCTTCAGACTATGTTCTACATCAATGCTAAATTTCAGCGTGATTCATGTAGCCGTTTTGGAGTTATCTTCAAACAAACATCCATCCATCTAAACATTTGTATTTATAATATTAGTTAGATTAGAAGGCTAAGATTTGAATGTAGAGTTTAACAGAAACAAATTAGAAAGGAACAAAGATGTTAGGGATTTGAGTAACGAAAAATGTTTGGAATATTTAAAAATAATAATAAGTAAATGAAAAGTTTCTATAGTTGAGAGTTAAAATGACAAAAGAAGAGATTTAAAAACGCAGTTAGAGTGCGACAAATTTATCTGAACCTGTAAACAAACGCTGCCAATGCATTTATTCTGTCAGAAAAAAAAGGAAAAAAGAACTTGTACTTAATATGGTCATTTCTATCTACAGTTTGGTGATAAGTGCTCCAATGGCGAACTTTACAGGACACATATATATTTATGATATAGACAAAGACTATTTAATAAAAGATAACATAAATGTAACAACAGGTAAAGCAATTGAATATTATTTAACCGACTAATAAAAGTTATTTTTCACGAATTACATATACGTTATGTTTTTAGTTATAGACTAGCTGTCGCTCGCGACTCCATCCGCGCGGACTTGAAAAAATAGTCAAGAAAGTTCAAATTGGTTTTACATTTTATTTAGAAAATGGCTGCTTTTAGGGTCTTCCCGCCAATTATTCGAATTTTTCTCGCCTTTTAAACCTTCCCTAGACCTCCACGAACATTTCAATACCAAGATAAGACAAATCTATTCAGCCGCTCTCGAGTTTCAGCGAGACTAACGAACAGCAATTGATTTTTATATTTATAGATTTGGATGTATGTATCCGTTTGCATGTATATTCTATTATAACCTTCTTTACCTTAAACAATAGTATCGATTTTAATTTTCGCATAAGGTTTACTAATTAATAAATATTGCTTTTTGTTTATTAATAAGAGAAGGAGGCAACGAGCTGCGGGAACACCGAGGTTGTCATCGACGACCTTTGGACATCTTCAGTACCAGAGGAACCATTTTTGTCATTATATTTTAGTAATAAACTTGTTTACAGATGACAGTAATACGCACCCATGGCTCGGAGCAACGGTTAAGACGGGAAATTCTTTTTATACGGTATTTAAATTTTACATCTTTAATTTATTAACACTATTTCATCATCATCAATCTGCCCTTATTACTACGGAGGGTCGGCACAGTATGTACTACTCCATACAACTCGTATCAACCGTCATATCCGAATCTACCCCCTTAACATATCCTCTTTCACACAATCCATCCACAGTTTTTTTTTATTTTCACTATTTATTTAACCTTTACATAAGGATTGTTCTTTTTGGTTTAATTAAATTTGTTCTTGAGTCCTTAATATATTGTAAAATGCATGAATATATAGCCATGAACTATGTTTCAGACTTGCGCTCCACGACCAGTCACTATTATGAGTAAGTAACAGATTAAAAAAATATATTTTCTACTTAACTATCTCATTAATTACCAATGTGGATTATTAAATAATAGATAAAGATGAATGACTGCTAAGATATTGAATACCACCACGTAGTTTATTATCGTACGTATCGTACCATGTAGTTAACATATATTACGACCTTTTTAGTATTTCGAACGGATTACCAAAAGGAAGAGGTTATCAATATGATTACTCTGCTGCTGTTAGACCGATTTAGATTATTTTCTTATTTTTAGTTTTAATAGAATGACAATTGAATGCATTTCAGTGCCATAGAGCATAGAGCGTCGGTGGCTCTGTGGTTAAGCACTTGACTTGCAATCTGCAGATCCTGAGTTCGAATTCCACCATTTTTCAATGTGATTTTTGATTTACATATGTACAATTATCCGACGTTCTTGCGATGAAGGAAAACATAGTGATGCAACCTACACATATCTGCAAAGAAATTCAAAGATATGTGTGAAGTCACTGCCACGGGCCAGTGTGGCCTTCTATCTTAGGGTAGGCTCCGAGTCAGTGGGGACGTATAGTGAGCTGATGATATTTTTTGTTTTGATTTTCTAGATCGTAAGCTTAAGCGTAGTGGTACTTTTGGACAATGTTTCACAAAGATTTTCGGAGTTAAGAATGAAACGATCGACATGCCTCAGATATCGAAGAAAGATCGCATGAAGGATTTCGTGACATTTGGTACGTTATTAAAACTTATCATTTAGCGACATTGTCGGGTACTTTGTATTCTAAAAAAAAATAAGTATGGCCCACTGACTGCTTACAAGGATTTTATCCAGTACATTTGTTTTTTTTTGAATAGGACAAAAAATGGATACGTTTGGATGGACTATGGATATCACGGCACACGACCGCATATTGGTCGGTGGTCCAGGAATGGTAAAAGGTACAGTATAGGAAGGAAGACCAAAATTATTTAAATTTGTTATTGTTCACTAAAATTATATTTATATTTATCATTTACTAGCCTCACATGTTTTCCTTAAATGACGTCACAAATTGCTTGTTACCTAAAACGAACATTTAGTTTCAGAAATTGTACATAAGCACTTACAGTTTCTTTGAAGTAATAGAATTATCGTTTTTAATAAATTCCTTTCTTCTTTCTTTAATCACAAATGCATGTATATACTACTAGCTGTCGCCCGCAACTGCGTCCGCGCGGAATTAAACACCTATTTGCCTCTGTGCCAAATTTCATAAACGTTCCGATAAGTCGTTCCGGAGATGTTCAAACAAACACCCGTCCATGTAAGCATTTATAATATTAGTAAGAAGTAAGATTATAAAGTGATTTTTTACATTTCAGGTCGAGTAATTCAATACACAGACATAAGAAAAACCCCACAACTAATATTGCCAGAAAATGAATCTTCAAAACACAATGGTGATATGAAATTCTTCAACTTTGGTAAGTGTATTGTTATACGAATATCTAATGGTATATCCATTTGTTATTACAACTTAACATTATCAAGAAAATCTTTCTAGCCTTTGAAAACTTTGGTCTTAATCGTTATTTAATTTTTTAAGACATTAAATAACGATTAACGCCTGTAATAATAATTAGTACGTCCTATATTATTTTTAACATATTTAATTTAAGAGAATTGATCATAATAATGTAGGATAAGAAAATTTCATTATACTATTAATTACAATACCGTTAATTCCACAATATTAAAAGCAAACCTTGGGCTTTTGAAACCAAAATCTCCGTTCAAAACATATTATTGTTTTGTTTGTCAAAGATGACGACGGGATAACGATATGTCTTGTACAGGTCTCAGAAACCCACGGATAAACAGACATTTCCGTAATCAGAATGAGAAGAAAAACTGAAAGCGTGTGCCGAGTAATCAACAATCTTAAAAAAAATGAGCAGTTTTCTCATAACGGGGATTATATTTGCATTGTTATTTACAGGGTACGGTATAGCCAGCGGCAAATTCATCTCTGAAAACATTTCTTATGCTATCAGCACTCCATACGGTAACAATGGAGTGGGTCAGGTAATATAATGAACATATTTAAGTAATATTATTATAACGTATAAAAAAAAATGAATTGCTTGGCGATGGTCTAGAACAGTGTTCCCCAACCTATTTTATGACAGCCATGACCCATCCAAACATTTCTAAAATTATTTATTTTTTTATTTACAATTAATTCTGTATGTAAAAGAAGAAGCTAGCTGCCCTCCAATTATTTGCTTTCTTATACTCCAAAATCTTATCAATTTCAGCTATTATTCTATGACGAAAATGGAAAATATGAAGGCAAGATAATGGATTCGAAGTCAAGATTAGGAACTCTATTTGGTGCAGTTCTATGCACAGTGAAGCTAACTAGCAAACAAGACTCTTTATTTGTTGGTGCTCCTACTTATGTACCTGAAGACACAAGCGATGATGATGTCGGGGCTGTACATATATACATGATGAAGAATAAGGTTAATACATAGTCGATTGTATAAATAGGAAAGTATAACATTCAGCACTTAACCACGTCCGGTAGAATAATCCTCCTATGTAAGTGCCAGCTCAAGCGACGAATACCTATTATGATTACCATGCAGATCATATTCGCACTTTAGTCCAGGGCATAAAAATGGACATAAAGGTATCTTTTATTAGGAATCAGAGCTCTACCAAGGTTAAGAAAAATATTAATAGTGTCACAAATTTATTTTTCACCTTTATTTGAGGAAACAATTTACTAAAGTTTCAAGCGTGTAAAGTGAAAAACAAATAATTGTTAAGAAAAAATTAATATTTTTCGTTAGTATTATTTCGTAACTTTTATTTTGTGTCTTTGATTCCAGTTCCAGTTAACAAAGACTATCAAAGGAACACATGTAGGCGGTCGGTTCGGCAGCGCTATTGTCAACCTCGGAGATATTGATTTAGATCAAAGAGATGGTCCAGTAATTCTTTTTATTCATTCATTTATTTCATACGCAAACATTGTATTATCTTCAATTTTTGGTCGTACTATATTTTTTATGTAAAAAATAAAAAAACAGTTAAGAAGATTACTGTTCTTGACTACAGACGTGGCGATTGCAGCGCCATTTGAAAACGACGGTAAAGGCGCGGTCTACATTTACACGGCGAGGAATATCTTTGCAGACAAAATGTCAGTCGAATACACGCAGAAGGTGCATCCAAAAGCAGTGACGACTAGAAGTTTTGGCCTGAGCTTGACTACAATGCAAGACCACGATAGCAACGGCTGCAATGGTATATCGTTATTTAAGAAAAAAACAACACTAAAATGAATTGGATATTAATTAAAACTTAAACCTACCTAGATATAATATCAGATCCGATGGGCATAACTTACACTAAATTATGATAGCTCACTAGCGCCCTCCAGACAATGTCAAAATGACCCTATTTTCTTCTTCTCAAGATCCTTTTTGTACTGTTGTTGTCGTGTCATATTTTTTTTTATCGCATTTCATATGCGTGTGAAGGTTTTACATATTTTCTGAAAGAACTAATGCCCTTGTTTAAATGTAATATGAAATGCGATTACCGTTGTAAACAAATTAATTAACTATTAACGCCATTATTATGTCAAACATGCGCTCCAAATAATACGTACACATACAGAACAAATTAATAAAAAAATTATTCGGCACAGAATTGGCGATCGGAGCACCGGAAACCAACGAAGTCTTCATTTTACGTTGTTTTCCTTCGATTCATTTAAATGTCTACTCAAAGCTTCCAAATTTACAGGTAACTTTTTTTAAATTCAATTTAATGTCTGTATTAAACTCATACTATATCAGACATTTAACATTTACGAATATCAATAGACGGGACAATTTAATCGTTCAAAGACGCTACTGAGAGAGTTTCTGTTTTCTGACACTCGTGACATGGCGGTACTGAAAATTATATGCAATCTTGATTAAAATATTTGAAAGAAAATACGCGTGATATCTATTCTATAAATATATATTTTTTTTTCAATCTCTTTGCCCTACAGATATATAACTGCTAATTATAACTTATTTTCTTTTGTTAAAAATAACACATTACAACGTTACGTTGTAAATTAAATAAAAACTATTGTAATAGCAATAAACAAAAGTACAAAATCATGCATACATTCGAAAATTAACAGAAATGTAAAAAACAATAATAATATTTGGTTTTTGTTCCAGATTCGTAATAGGACAGAGAAGGATCAGTTTACATTCAAAGCATGTCTCAAGGCGAAATTTCCAAAGAAGCCACAGCAAATTGTAGCTGGTAAGTGTTTTAGTACTCGAAAGTAATAAAACAAGCGGTATTTCTGATGTTCCTTAACTAATATATAATAAGTAACTGTCGCCGGCGATTCCGTCCGCGCTGTATTAGAAAAAAAACCCTAATTAGTACCCTATGACTTCTTACAAGTTATGTACGACATCTATTTCAAATTTAAGCGAGATCCATGCAGCCGTTCTGAAGATACTTTCTAACAAACATTTATCCATCCATCCAAACATTCGCATTTATAATATTAGTAAGAAAGTAATATTATAAATGATGAAATTTGTAAGAATATGTAAGATTTATGTAAATGTTTTCTAAGTTTAATATGTTTTGTTATAATGTTCAACCAGAAGGCATTATTTCATGCGGAAGAAATCGCGGACAGAGTTTATTATCTACAGTTACGCAAAGAATTAACCTGTCTTAGTAGGGTTCAACAGAAGTAGACTGTGGCCTTATTCTGATCTTTAACACAGACAACATAGTACAGCCGTTTGACTTATCTATGGTTTCTGAGACCAAAATCGTTTTTAAAAAGTTTTTGTTGTTTCAGATATATTGGTTACTGTAAACATAATGCATCCAAGCGCCAAATTTAAACAGACTAAAAATGGTGTTATAACATATGTTGAAAAATTGAACAGAAACAATAATGTATATTGCAGAGATATACAAGTTCTAACTCCTTTAGTAAGTATACAACTTATGAAAACAACCAAAAATAAAGTTCCACTGATTGCTTACTTTGTGCTGTTAGGAATCCGACACTGAGCCGGTGTACTGGCGCAACACTGGCCTTACTAAAATGTCGACGTTTATGTCCGTACACTAATCATTCTGACACTAGACTTTGTAACGAAAGCGCGCCATTCGCGCCATAGGATTCTAACTAATAAAGTCTAAAAGTATTATATATAGTATTAGTATACTATGAACGCTATTTAAGGGCAAAGTATTTCTGTTGTAAACTTTTTATAACGATTGTATAACATCCTCGATAAAAGGTTTAAATAGACGTCTCGTTATATAAATTCAGGATAAAAATATCGAGCTGTATCCAATACAAATTGCGACTAAAGCAGAACTAAGCAATGATCCAAGTCTCACTGAAATATTTGATGCTAACCGGGCAGTCGTTTCTGAACATAGCACAATATTCGCTCTCGATAAACTTCGGGTGTCAGATTGCAACTTCGCATACTGCGTACCAAATATACAGACGATAACGTCGACGTCATTTACGTAAGTATAAATTATTTATTTATTACCTTTAAATAATAATAATAAAGATTCTTTATTGCATATTTTATTACAGTGTCAATTTACCCTTGGCTCCTATACTAGGTTAACATATATTTAAGGAGCCAATGATTTCCATTTTACGTGAATCTTACAAAATAGATAATGCGTATAACAAGTATTAGGATTAAAATGTTATAAAAATCACTCACTCACTCACTCCGCTGGCGCATCGACCCAAAGTATGTCTTGGTCTCCGACATAAGAGATCGCCAAAGTCCGACACAAGAGACATTTATAAAAATTAAATTAATTAAAATAAAAAACTTATTAAGTAAAAGAAAAAAAATCCCGGCTAAAATGTTCTCTGTTTTACGTGCGATTCCGTGTGGAATAGTACAAAGTTAAATATTTTTATTGAATAGACAATATTTGCCTCCCTCCTTCTCTTTTAGTGCCTCTCCTTGTACCTTGGTATGGTCATCGTATGCTTACCTTTTGTTTTATCGATATTTACTCATTTTACAATTATATATAATTTTATCCCAAATAATCATAGTAATTTTTAACAGGTCACCATATATAGTGGGTTCAACGGATACAGAAAGCATCAATTTAAGCATGATTAATTCCGGTGAAACTGCGTATAATGCGTGCTTGCGCGTGCGCGTTAGCAGTGCGCGCGTCTTGCTGGCTCCTGGCTGCACGCGTGACGAACACGATCTAATATGTGAGCCTGGCACTCCGCTCAAACAAAACGCAACTTGGGTAATTATCTTATGTTCAGGATTAGTGTTTGTAAGAGTTATTGGATTAGATAACGTGATAGGAAAGGAGAATTGTTAATAAGCAACTCTTATCCAGCCAACTCAATTTAATTTAGAAGTACTGCGTACGTTCATATCTAAACCAATTTTGTTCTATACAGCCTTTCAGTCATAGACTTTGTTGTAAAATATATATTTTTATTATATTTTCATACTGCGTTCTTACTAAATTCTAATATAAAAAGGGCAGGCTGACATCGTTTTTTCTTTCCAGAATATACCGAATATTATGCTCGAAACAAAATTCTTGACGAATCGGGACAAAAAAATTAATATCACGATAAACACGTACAATCATTGCGAAAATGAAACCGATAAAATAACGGAGGAATTAGTTATCGAATTACAAAACGATCTTACAAATTTAGTTTTGACAAGGTAAGAAAATTGTTCGGTTTATAAAATAATAGTTCAACAAATCTATTCGATAACAACTACCAGAACTTTTAAATAATTTCTCCGAGTCTACGCAGTTATAGGAGTGCTTAAGTAACGAAGCGAAGCTTCAGTAGCCCAAAGGTTTCCGATCATGCGGTCGGGGGTTTGAATCCCCCCATTCGACTATTGTCGTAAACCATGTCCTAGCACAAGCATAGAGCGTAGTTGGAATGGTACAAGAAATATTAGATTAGCAAATATTTTATTAAAAAAAAATTATATCGTATTCTTTTGTATATTTTGTGGTCTGTGGGACAGGGGCTTGGTGATCCATCACAAAGCGTATTACTCTAGTTTGAACACCAGTCCCCTGCCTATAGGGGAGAGATACTAAAGTTATTTTATTTAATTGGTATATTAATTCATTTTCAGCGAAGCAATACCGGCCGAAGTTGTTAATATTTCATACATTAATTTGGACACAGAAATCAGTCATTTTTACACGGTAAGCGTTAAAATGTTAAGTCGTCATTTTATCGATTTTTACATAATTAATAGCTGACGCCTGCGACTCCGTCCGTACGGGTTAAAAATAGATGTTGGCCGATTCTCAGTCCTACTCAAAATTTCATGAGAATCGGTCAACTAGTTTCGGAGGAGTATGGGAACGAAAATTGTGACACGAGAATTTTATTTATAAGATATAAGCAATGAAGGTGGAAATTGGATGGTTTCAAAGGTAGTAGAAGACCAAACAAAGTCCATACTTTGGATTGTGTCAGAGGGTATGCGTAAGGGGATAGATTCAGATATGACGACTGATAGAGATGTATGGAGTAGTACATACTGAACCGTCCCACCGAAGAAAAGGGAGGGTTGATGATGATTACATAATAATATAAGCATATTATTTCACAGATTACAAACAAAGGTTCTACAAACTGGGTTGACATGAGAAGTGAAATAATACTCGATAGTAAATATGCGGAAATCAAGAACCCAATAATAGTAAGTATTTTCTGTAACAAAATTACTATATATTTTTAAATCTATATTATATATATATATATATATATATATATATATATATATATATATAATATAGATATATAAGAAAGTCGTGTTAGTTACACTATTTATAACTCAAGATCAGCTTTACCGATATAGCTGAAAATTGGTGAGGAGGTAGCTTAGGGCCAGGAGGTCATAGGATACTATTTATTCTTTTTTTCTTTTCGAATTTATGCCTTGATAAGCTGCTTTTTATTTAACTTATCTAAATATTAAGTTTTTTCATATATCCACGCGGACGGAGTCGCGGGCGACAGCTAGTTATTAATATATTTCTGTATATTTATTATTTATTTTATGCTTTGGATAAAAAATCTCTGTTATGGATTTGTTTTATTTTTAATTTTAGATTTACACAAATAATCAAAATATGACCTGTAACCATGACTCGAAGTCATATTGTGATATCGACGAAATTAGAAAAAATCAAAAAATATATATAATGGTAAACTTGAGAATACCACCAATAGCAGAGGGTAAGTAATCATTAAATAATATAAATATAAAAGTAAAAAAAAAACTTAAGTCTACATAGAGTTTAAAAAAAAAAACAAAAACTGGTAAAATTGCAGTCTTAAAATATGACCTTTTTCGTTATAATACAAAGATGTATGGATATTCTGTATTAAAGATTTTTGCAAAATTCATTTACATATAAATACATATTATATATTTCTAATTTCATTAAATATTTAAAATGATTTTTCATTTCAGAAGAGTTCAAAAACATCAGTATTATAACGCGGCTAAATTTAATTGAAAATGAAGAAATAAAAACGTTAAGGTTAGTTATAATATCTTTTACATGTAATTTCTAAAATATTTAATTTTTACAAACCTTATTAAGTCACCAAGAGCAAAATAAAAGTTCAGAAAAATATGTCAAGAGTCATCATCAACCTGCCCTTATAACTTATCGAGGATCGGCATAGTATGTACTACTTCTCCATAAATCCCATCAGCCATACATCGTAATTTTTCTATTATTATCAATGCTATAGATGGATGGATGGTTTTTGGAAGGTATCTCCCGAACGGCTGCGTGAATCTCGCTAAAAATTGGTATAGATGTAGGACGTAGTCGTGGGCGATAGCTAGTGTGTTATAGGAGTAACTACAGCTTAATGATAGTTTAATAATTATTTAAAACATGATTTCAGTGCGCTGAGTATATTAGTAAGAGTTGAATTGCCACATATCGCCTTCTGGATCTACTTAGCCGCAGGCATAATCGCTATTCTTGTCTTAGTCATTATAATAATTATATTTTACGAAGTAAGTATACTATTTATAAAGTTAAATAAAAGTACGTGTATATTAATCTTACTAATATTATAAATACGAATTTTTGTATATAGGTATGTATTGTTAGGAAGAAAATCCGACACACTGCCGGTGTATCGGCGCAACACTAGCCTTATTAAATGTTAACGTTTATGTCCCCTCACTAATCAATCTGACACTCGACTTGGTAACGAAAGCGCGCCATTCGCACCAAAGGATTCTAACTAATAATTTCTAAAAGGATGAATGGGTATTTATTAGAAGGTATCTTCAAAACGGCTGCTGAAATTTTAGTCTACTAATTATTTTTTTAGCCCGCGGACGGAGACGCGGGCGACAGCTAGTTTATGATCAAATCAGAGTTCATAGTATAAGATGTAATCAGGAGTATAGCTTACGTAAACTGGTGATAATATCCTTTGACAAGTACAAAAAATAAGTTGTTTAGTTATTTATATTTGAGCATTACCCATAAATACATGTAACTGTTTATCAACACAATTTCCTTGCTGCAAAGACAACCAAAAATGTTAAATGAATGTATTCTTGCAGTGTGGTTTCTTGCAACGAAAGAACAAGGAAAAATTGATAGATCTAAAGAAAGACGTCAGAAGACAGAGTATGGTAATAAATTTTTACTTTTATTAGTCACTATTAAGTATTTTTAACACACAAACAAGAAGCATTCATTCCTGTATACATCATTTTATCATTTTCTTAACTGCTACAAAAAAAAAGTTATACCCTACATAACTTATTTAAAGTATTAGTAATTTACTGTTGGTTCCTGAGACCTGTATAAAACATATCAACAAAGATATATTTTAAATTGTGAGTTTCTGAGATCAAAAGTTCAGAAACTCGTGATTATTTAATGTTAACTGCGAGATATTTGCAAAATAATATTCATCGTTTGCAGAGACGAACAATGTTACTGCGCGAGAGCATGCGGTCTGCGCAGGCGCGAGAAGGTTCCAGCGCACCTGACGATCAGAATAAACTACTTGAAGTCGATAATAAGGAAAATCCGACTGACTTGTAACTAAAGAAGTGCAATAAATTCATTCAACATTTTTAATGTTTCTGGGACGTAAACGTGTTAACATCTAAAGTTTTTCAGTTTTCATAAACTTATAAATAAAGTTCTCGTGTCACAATGTTAGTTACCACACGCCTCCGAAACGGCTTGACCGATTTTTATGAAATTGCATCATCATTTCAGTAGGTCTGAGAATTGGCTACAATCTATTTATTCCCGTGGGGATGGAGTCACAGGGAACAGCTATTATATTCTATAATTCAAAATTAGTCCGATTATCAAGACTAACAAAAATAAACAAGAATATTAATTTTTCAAACAATATATAGAATCATGACATCATGATAGCTTTTTACTGACATAGTTGAAGGGAATGGAGAATTCCTGTAGGCTGAAGATAACATACTCGTTATTTCTATATCAATAATACTAAGCTTGATGAATTCCGATTTCATTTTCACACATGTAGGCAAATTCTTTCAAGCAATCGACATCATTATATTTTGCGTCATTCAAAAAAATGCTGCCGCATTTCTCTGACTCCGACGCGTTGTTGGGCTCACCGGGCGACCATTCAGCAAAACCCGCCTCTTCTAGTGTCTGATCTGTTAACATGTGTTTATATTTAATTTGCTTATAAGATAATTTGAAGGCATTGAAGGCATATCAAAGAATAAGTCAAGATACACGCCTAAATTCATAAGAACCAAGCCTGGCAAATGGCAAATGGATGTTCAGGTAAAGTAGGCCATGTAATAAGTACCCAGTATCTTTAAACCATAGTAATAAATAGTCAAATATTGTAGTTGAGGTGGGTAATTGTAAAAATAAAAGTACGTACTAAAAACAGTCTTGAAGACTCTGGTATTGTTTGCATCGGTTGCTCTAATACCCGCGAGTATGAACCAGGAGGCAGCTGAGGTAGGAACCCGTGGGGCGGCGTTCATAACATCGTAGAGCAGGGAACGCTCAGACTGAGAATTGATGATGACGAGGTGAGCACCCACCACGTGGCAATCCTCATACGCCCTATTCCACGACGCTGCGGTCTCAGACATCTTGTAGCAGCTACCCGTGATGTTGTAATATTTGTATCCTAAGCATAAATAAAGTACCTAACGTTTAGTCACCAAAGTGCTAAGGTCTTTTTTTTTAATAGAAAATGAGCATCGGGAACACTGAAGTGATCACAACACCAGAGGAACCGCAGACGCGTTGCAAGCCAAAAACCGCGTAAAGAAAGGAATTCAAGTTAATTAAGGCAAAAAGTGAAAACTCTCTATTGCGTCATCAGTACTTGACTACTAAATACTGATATAACTTCCACTGGTGCATGTACATCGTTGGAATCGATGGATTAAATTATAAATAACTTTCTATTAACATCTTAAAATGAATATAATTACAGTACCCAATAGGTACTCTTGTACTATGATTATTCCAAATCAAACTCCAGATACCACAATACCTGAAGAGTAGACTTTGCATCTTGAATCATAGATGACATTGATAGCTTTAATTTTACACATAAATGGTAATTTATTGAGGCAGTTGGAAGTCTCTACTATTCCCTCTCGGGTGACCACGTTACATTGTCCCCTTGATGTTTCGGGCCAATCTGGATCTTCCACTAAAACATTACATAGAACACATTACAGTTTTCTAAATGTACTCAATTTAGAAAGCGAAGTTAAACGAATTAAACTTACTGTAAATAAGTGGTGTTTCTTCAGCCGACTCATGTTGTAACCCATCCGATGTGACCAACACATAGTTTCCTATATCTGGGAACTGCTTGAGCATTTTGTGAACTTGTACAACATCGTCTTGGGATGAGATAGTCATCAGTTCAGCGCCTTCTTTTTGGCAACGGGATTTCGCCTCATTGTCCGTTGCGGTCGCAACATGCAGTTTGTAGAAAGCATCAGTTTTTGAGTTGTACTCATAGTCGTATCTGTATTGTTTATGTCTCGGGTTAGCGGCTGCTAATGCTAGGAAGAAAATTGTTGATATTTATTTAACTTTTACTCCTCTAAGTTTAGACGTAAATCAATTATTATTTACTTTTTCAAACACAGTTGTGGACATCTCAAATTGAATAAAGAATAATAGAACATTAAAAAATAACTTACAAAACAAAACAATGAACACAACCAGCATCGCGTCTTTACTCGCGTCCGATGCGTCGCAAAATATTTATTGAACTTGCTCATTACGTTGAAGGCCTAGACCTCATCAATCTTGAAGTTAACGCCGGACTGTTGGTGATAATAAATACCTATAGATATCTTACTTCTTACTAATATTATAAATGCGAATGTTAAGATGGATGGATAAATGGATGGGTGGATGTTTGAAGATATCTCCAGAACGTCTCAATGAAATGAATGAACGTCGTTGAAATTTGGCAGCGATGTAGAACATAGTCTGGAAGAACACATAGTACTTCTAAGTTTTTATTTTTAATCTGCGCGAACGGAGTGGCGGGCGATAGCTAGTATATACATGTATGTCTCTTAGTCATAAAATTGTAAATGTAAATCTTTATATTTACATTGCAATCTTATTTATATGTTCAGTGGGGTTTTCTGCCGGTATTCCGCCTCTAAAGCGATAACCTTTTGAACTTTTTGTGCGCATTCAAATGACAAAGGTCGGTAAATATTATAACAATAACGTATTCCATACTATACCGTCAGGGTCAGGGACAAACCGTCGTGCACTATTTATTCAGTGTAGATTTCTCATATTCAGGACGCACAGAAAGAGTCTCTTAGTCTTCAATTATGTGTGGCAAGTGGTACACCGCCAACGGAGGCGACTGTTCATATTTTTATTTACCTTTTCTGTGTTGCATAAAGAATAGTTTTATGCAAGAAATTTTTTGCATTTAATAAACCAAACGTTTAGTCGTTTAGGCAGTCGGAGGTTCTCACCTATATGGATATTATAAAGAGGAAATATTTGTATTCTACATGTAACGACTCAAAAACTACTAATCGATTAAAAAAAACTATTTTGTCTACATAGGCTATACTTGTTACTAGAAAAGATACTCAACATTTGCAATATTGTTTTCAACATCGTTGCGTTTCTGACTAATGAAAAATAAGCGATAAAAACGTTATCAATCTGACATCACCTAGTTAACTTAGAAAGAACGTATAAAAGTCATAGTATTCGAAATCAAATTACGTGTGATATATAGGAAGCTGTCTTAGTAGTACATAATAGCGCGTAATTAAAAAAGAAACTTCTTAACCTATTTGTTCATCCAGATCATGTTCTACATTTATACCTAATATCAGAAAGATCCGTTGAGTCGTTCCGGAGATACCTTCAGACAAACATCCATCCATCCATCCATCTAAACATGTATCTTCCTAATTTTTTGAATTATAATGACGTGAATGTTATCTCTGTCAGTTGATAAAAAGACGGAAAATTTTAGATTTTTCCTAGTACTATCTTCCATCTCGCCAGTATTATATTTTCGTGGGAAGGGTGATAAATAAAACTCGTGTATAAATATGCAGTAATGTTTTATTGTTAGTGCGGGGGCCAGCGCGGGAGCTGCGCGGCCCGCCCTACGCGCCGCCAACCGCACCTCTTTCTGCAAACTGTCACATTTCCCGCTCTGTCACTACGTTACACAGATTATGCTCAACTTTATTCCATTTTAATTAAAGAAAAAATTTACAGACTGTTATTCGAATAAGTCTTGAACATTGCAATACTATTTAAAAATTCGCGGAATCGATTGGATAATGGAATGTACAGACTGATATTCTAAGATTGTTACTGTTGTGAAAATAAATTGATCAATTTTAAGCATATAATAAATCTGACAGTTTACAATGGAAGGTTTGGTCGGTCGATGCACGACGCTACAAAATTATTTTGGCAGTTCGCAACAATGGTAAAATGCAACCATCTCCGTTGTCCGACGGAAACACGTATCTAGTATTTACAATCGCCTTTCTCCAAGTATCAAGTTGTCTGAACAAACTAAATCACAATTCTACAAAGTGTCGTCGAGTGTCAAATTAACTAAATCCAACTATACATAGGAAATGTCGGCAGAGGGCGCGCGAAGCGAACGACTGCAAGTCTAGTGGCGCCTCAGCCCTTATAATACCTAAAAATACGAAAACTTAAAAACGACATCAGTGCACAAAATATCTACTATATACATAAGACTGGTAATAATTAAAATAAAAAATTGTTTTACATTAAGAAAATTATTGTTTTCTTCCATTTTGTGATTTTTTTGTTTGTTTTTTTTATATATAAGAGTTACAATACAAAACTAAACCGCAGGTTACACGACACAAACTAAGAGCGTATTCTGCTTACTTTAATATTAACTAAAAGTCTTATAATTTTATTTGCTAATATTTACAAGAAAAAAAAATAGGAAATAATTTTCCTTCAAGTGCCGATATTCGAGTGTGCTATTACAAAAGTCCTGATTGACTAAAGTTACAAATGAAATCGTATTAAGACACAATTGTGAACTCAAATGACATCTTAAAAACTAAAGATCACTTCTGTGTTGTAAATTGAACAATGTACTTATAACTTAAATAATACGAGATCCCTGAAAGTCTGGAAACGCAATATAAGTAAAATTACATATAAAAGAATGAAAAATATCGTCTCAAATTTTCGGAGACATTTACCATATTAATTAGTAAAAATTGTTCACATTTATATTTTAATTTACATACACAAAAGACACAAAAAGACATAAACAAAGAGCGTACATCAATAGTTTACGTCACAAAGCGATTCGTTAGCGAATGACGAATAACTAAGACGAATAATTATATATAACAATAATTATTTCTATATATACAGCAAATTGGTGTCGAGTTCTATTATTTGTGATTATCAGAATCCAATAATTACGCCTAACGGATCACAGTGATAGTTATCTGAATTAAGGCAAGGTGGGGTCAGTCGCGAGCCTACGTCTCCGCAACTAAACGAGTCGCTAGATGGCGCATTTCTTAATTAAACTGTGAGGTAATTACATTCTTTAAATTGTGTAATTTTAACTTTTAAATCTGTATTTACATACATTGCTATGAAACAATTAATAAATGTGTGACAGCGACATCTAGCTGACGTTTAGTGCAGAGTACAAGGTCGCGCCTCCTTTGTACCATCGTTACGCCCTTATTTGACACGTTGCGTCCCTGAGACAGAGATTATAATGTTGGCAACTATTGCTTCTTTTTGTAAAAAAAATCCAAGTTTTAGTATAGTTCAGTAGCGCAACGAATCAAACGAGGAAGCCAACCGGAACTGAGTGCTGCTTAAATTTCAAACCAGCTTAATATTAAATCTACAGCTTTGTCTATTTACAATTAATTATTTTTTATATTTTTATATAGTTTTGAACTAGTTTTAAGGCTACGACGTCCCGACACACAGAATACACCTATACTAGTTACAGCAGCGCGGTATTACCTCGAATCTACATAAACATATGGAAATATTAAATCACGTAACTAACTTTACTTTTAATACGAAATATAATTTTAAAATTTCCCCATCAAATTGTCACGCACACTAACATACCAAAAATTAATTATTTAAAATCGCTAATATAACTATAAATGCTTGAAATACATATGTATTTTGTTACATTTACAAATTGCTATACAATTTCACGCTACGGTTTAGTGGTACTTGAATACATTTCTTACATATACATAATATATCATCTATATATATTTTACGCATCGCAAATACTATATGTTCTGTCCGAGACAAACAATGTCATCGCTAAGTCACTCTCAGCATAGACGTTTCTTTTCCCGAACAAAACAGGTCAATATTACTAATAAAACTAACCTACCTAGCTACGTTAAAAATGTTCAGTCGATGTTACATACAATGGTGTTGGAGTTATAGTACACTTATATTTAACATTCTAAGGCCGCGTGCAGACGGGTCTAATTTGAAATAATCCAGCTTTTTAAGTTTATTATTTTTAAGTACGAAGCCGACGTTTACACGCGGCCTTAAACTATGAATACACACAGAACACATTGAAATTAAGAACGTAAACAGAACACTTGAAAAAAAAAACAATTACGATTATTAATTATTAATAAGATTACAATACATTTCTTGCATACGAAACACAAATGAGGCGCACACTCACAACTAACTTTCATAAAAGTGCATATAAAATGGAATCGCGTTTATAAATTGATGAATTAACTTACACTAAGGATCCCTCCGAGCCTTATACAATTAAACAATGCTCTGACAAACACTTTATCGTAAACATCATCATATCGCCCGTGGTGACGCCATTTTCTCCCCTATGTTTCGTTGTATAAAGCATATTATTGCATAAAATTACAACTACTGCGACAGCAAACTTTGTCGCCGATTCCTTTAACTATATTCACAGGGAATCCGTCTACATCTATTCTTGGCATAATGCTATACTATCAGAAAGAATAGGACAAAATATATTTGGTAGTGACGTCACTCGAAGCGATTTATCTCCGTAACAATATACTAAGTTAGCATTAAAACTATTCTCTGTTCGTTATAGTCAATGTAAATTGGTGTTCTTTAGATTGGAAGTCACTTTAATGAGGTATGGTGCGGCTTTTTATTGTATACAAGTAGATGAGTCTAGTCAAATAAAACAAAAAAAAAAACTAAAACCAAACGTTACAAATGAATAATTAATTTTGTTCACATTACACGAAACATATTTTATACTAGACTCATCTTCACTATAATTTTTAACTTAAGAAACATATAAAATCCTTGATGTAGTGATTGGACAATACCAATAATTAAATACGTCACGAATTAAATTGTGTTAAAAGCATTTAAAAACAGATCCAATCACTGTAAAAGAGTCTTAATGACGCGGTGTATAAGGTTGGTTATCGCGTATCGGTGCAATCGGCGCGTCGCTTGTCGGGGGCGCGCGTGGACTCGCGTCATTCCCACTGGTGTGGCGAGGGCGGTAGCTCGGAAGGATGCGCCACCGTTGAGCTGCAAAGTACATGTGTCAACCGGGTCAGTCCAGTAGCCAATCGCCACTACGGTACCCACACCCACGCCCACGCCCACGCTGATTCCTCACTCGATTTCGGACTCAATCAGTCAATTTAGTAAACTCAAGTTTGTATCGATTAAACAGCCGATTCAAGCTCATTTCTAAATAAATCACTACTTCTCTACATCTTTAATATCCGAAGTCGAGTGAGCGAATCGAAAAGACCATGCATATTGCAATCGATTTTTAATCAGAAATTTCCAAATGGCAATTTTTCTACGATAATAAAAGAGAATTGGTACGGTAAAACTGCATCACAAATCCAAACTCTACTGACCAATAGCTACGTAAAGAGAAACAGATTAAAAATAATCACCACAACCAAGTACTCGGCACTGTGCTCGCTGTAGACTACGCATGCACTACGCAAAAAAAAAACACAAAAAGGATATGTAACCACTGTCTTCGAATTATGAATCATGTGATTATAACCACAAGATACAAATTTGAAAAACAGTGTTAGTGGTAAACAATAACATTACGGCCCACAAAATAAGATATATCAATTTTAATTAAATTCACCATTTTTTGTTTAGTGAATATTGCGTTTAATGAAAAATGTAATTTGCGATTTTACTACAATATTCTTTATTATGAAACGAAAGAATTTAAATGTTATCAATTGAAAATTACGATAAGGAGAAGATTTTCAAAACACACAAGTAATAAGAACACCCGTGTACATGCAATTTTTTTTATATGGCAAGTTATTGCATGCGTTTTGTGTCATACTTGATTGCCATGAATATTGACAGAAATAAACTCAAACAGTTGAACCCGTATATGGTGGACCATTGAGGCATGCAATGCAAACGAACCGCCGCGAGACGGAACTAAACGATCAACCCTTTTGAAACACTAAAGCCGTTCGCAAAGTCAACTCTAACTGCATTTAACAACTTTTACAGGTCAATGAAACGATATCTGATTAAAATTGCAAACTTTTTAACATGTTAGTTAAAGTGAAAAAATTGTAATTGACTTAATAAGGTTTGTTAGATTAATAAAATTTTGTTGTCGTGGGAAGAATTAAGAAAAGACGATAGCACAGGTAGTGGTGGCTTGTCGAACGGCGTCCGCGAGTGCATTGATAAGGTAGTGGAGAGTCAGGCTGCGTGCGGGCTTACTGGGGCTCGTTAGGTAATCGGCGCGCGCGTTACGCGGCGCACAGAAATATCACTGGCGACAGAAGTAGAATTTTTGCCGCCGTCTTGAAAGGGGAACAAACTTTTGCTTTCGAGCTCGCTCTAGAACTGCCGCAAACACACAGAAAAAAGCATAACGTTATTACCGACTAACTATGTTTTTTGAAGCATCGAAGGCTCCATTTCAATAGGGTTGACTTTGCTGGGATGCAACGGTTCTGTGCGGGAGCGAAATGTTATTGAGCGTAAAGGGTTTCGATTAAGAAAATCGCAAAATCCATGCACAAATCGGGCTCTCGCAAAATCGACCCGTAGGCGCGTAAAGTTATTGCGTATAGAATAAAATAATAAGGGTAAATAATACCTACACAACTCAACTACATTAGGCGGGATTGGGATTGGAGAGATGGGAAGGCGGTGTGAGGGATGCGACATAGGCTAACTTCTGCGACCACCATATTGTTTGCGTATGGTGGTGTCGGGATATACGACACCGATATAGCACGCGGCACGCTGCCGGGACACCGACGTGCACACATTAAACAGTTCGCACCGTGACACACCTAGTTGTGATGACCGTATGCATCTTCTGATTTATTATCGTCACGTCACGTGAAGGTAACACTGAGAGAACAGTTACAGAATTACGAATCATTACAAACAACAGTAGTAAATGTCAGTGTGACAGTTGACAAGTGTCAAGTGGCAATGTTGCCTGCACGTGGTGGTGGGAGGGGGGCCCTGACATGGGTGCGGGTGGTCGTTGTAGCAGAGCGTGTTAGTTACGTATCGCAAAGAAATCACCTAGTGTCGGTTGGTTGTTGGTTGCGGTTGTTGATGGCGGCGCCTTACCTTGCGAAGCTCTTGAACGCCGCCGACTGCGGGTTGATGCACAGAGGTACCCGCGACGTCTGCAGCTGCTCCGCTATGAACTTGTGAATTTCCTCTGCGGACCGATTTACCGTTTCGTAGTTGTTATTTATACACTAACTTATCATTACTAAAAGTGTTGCTAATGCTATACCTCAAACCTTATGGAGGCAGTTGGTAAATGATGTTGTGTGGGTGCGGTTACCTTTGACTTGGTGCACGGTGGTAAGCTTACGCTCCCAGGCGTCGTGGAAAGCGTGTGGGGCCGCGGGCTCGAGGTCGGGCGAGTAGTGTCGCGCGGCGGGGGGCGCGCTGTAGCAGCACTTGCACATGCACGAGTGGTAGCGCAGCCGCCCCTCCTCCAGGTAGGGGTGCGCCAGCGCGTCCACCACAGATATGCGCTTCGACGGATCGAACACCAGCATCTGGAAGCATCAAATAAGGTGTGAAGTAAGTATTATCAAGACTGAAAGATATTGCATTATACTCATTCATGATGGTTTCAACTTTTCATACCATGTTTCGAAGAAGACAGTGGTTTTTCATTAGAAAACTGTCTTTGTAAATCAACAGAAAAGGTGTATCTTGGTGCTTGAGGAGGATAGGGCAGTAGTGGGAGGTAAATACCTGTGCGAGGAGATGCACAGCCTCATGCGTAGCCTGCACGGAGAGCGTGTAGAGGGCGGCGAGCGCGGGCGGGCGTGGAGCGCGGCGCATCATGTGCGCTCGGGCGCCGGCGCACGCGTGTCGCATGTCCTCCAGCGACGGGGTGCCCAGCAGCTCCGTTATCAACTCCAACTGGAATATGAAATTTATCTATTAATTTTAATCTTCAGAATCAAGATCAAAAAGAGACACGTATGCCATTGACCAATAAGAACAACATCAGTGGTTCATATTTTTGGACAATACCGAAAGTAAGATGTGAATAAAGCATAACATATGTACAAGGTTTATGGACAAAATTGGTTTTGAATTTTTCAATTACTTGAACTAATATAATGAACAATTGACTATATATTATGTTATAAATATGACCTGCTGCACCGGGCTCTGGGCTTGGAACAGTATGCGCCTGCCGAGCAGCTCGCCGAATATGCAGCCCACAGACCACACGTCCACAGCGGCCGTGTAATGATTGGCGCCCATTAGAATCTCTGGTGCTCTGCAACAGTTAAAACCATAATACAAACTATATCCCCATAACAAAATAAAAACAAGAAAAAGAGTATCATAGACGAGAAATAAAAAAAAACCATTCGATAACCTAAACGACTTACAAAAACTTATGTATTCTGCCGTGAGTAGCCAGACTGGTTAGTCAGGATCAATAGAATACTGGAGGCTCTTCAAAGCTTAATATTAGACGCTGTTACTTAGAGATTTCGGTGAAATCGTTTCTAAAATTCCAGCATTCCAGTATTTCACTAAATTCCAGTCTAGTGCTAGTACATTCTACGTACATATTTAATGTAGGCATTGTATCTCGGTACACAAGTCCAGTGTAAACGTGGGAATTAATAAAAGTATGGGTTAGTATCTGATAAGTTATAAGGGTTCGGTAGCTCGGGGGATATTAACAAAGGACTGGGGAGTTGCTTAGCAATAATAATGGGGGCGCCATTTGGCTGCATCATTATCGGCATATTGAAGGCAGAATAAACGCGTTATATTTATTTTCGGATGCAAAAGAAAATATACCATACTAGCTGTCGCCCGCGACTCCATCCATGCGGAATTAAAAACAAACTTAATAAGTAGCAAATTTCAACGAGATGCATGAAACCGTTCCGGAGATACCTTCAAACAAACATTCATCCATCCATCTAAACTGTTTATAATATTAGAAAGATTTATAATTGTTTATGCTACCCTTGAAGCTTGACGTTCTATTTCAACGTAAGAAAAAATGAAAAAATATCAAATACAATTTTGAAATGGGAACTCATAAATACAATTGGCTATTTCAACATAAAAATATAAGTAGCATTTGAAAACCGATTCAAGATGGCTACCATTTAGTATCGTATCGAAGTGTACACTTGAGTTAGCAATTTCTTGGGTTTAGTATAACAAAGGCAACCGTGGCCTGGTTGTCGGCGCGGACTCGACAGAGGTCGTTCCGTTCATTCACAGCCCGCGTCCCTCACAGCCTTGGATTCACCATTTATTTGGAATCCAAGATCAGCAGTACGTGAGTCGAATCGGAAATTGCTTTTATGCAACATGTTTGACTTTTCGATTCTCTTTAACCGTGGATTTTCACTGACTAACATTTTATACTCTTAAAAAAAGTCAAAAAATATAAGTTCGTTCAGTTTGGAGACAGTGGCAATGTAATACGCGGGAGCGAAATTCTACAGAAATATATTTACAACGTAAATCGTGCAATCGAATTAAATAAATATTTGTATCCACGAATCTAAGAAATAAAAACTAGTAGCAAATCGAATTCACCAATTAAGCAAAATTCATCTCACATCTTTATAACAAATGCATATTTACTTTTACTAGTCTACAAAAGAATATTGAATCGTCTCTCTGTCGAATTGCAAGTATCTATATAACGAAGCGAGAATATGTATTTTTTTAAACGATAAAGTGAGATTCCAAGTGAAATATGCGTAGGTTCAGTTGGTATCAAATTGCGGCGTAAAGTTTAATATCCCGGCGATATAGAGCCCGTCTGCTGAGCGAGGCAAAGGCGAGAACTTTCCAACTGCTATGTATGCGTATATACATTTATATACTCTACTTATGTACGTACGTGCGTTGTATAAATTGCCAGACATGAAATGTATGAGCGCGTTATTTAACGAGTCATGCTATAATATAAACCCGGGTATGAATACATATAGCAAATACTTTTAAGTCGCTTCAACATAATTCCTATAGCTTTATATTAAATGGTAGTAACACTAAGTATCAGACGACATCTTTTTTTGTAGTAATAGTGCAAAAAAAAACTAAAAAGAATTTAGGTTTCTTCCTAAAAGTAGCCATGTTCTATTCTTTTGAGCTTAAAGGACTACGTATTTAAATTGGCTTTTTTAGATATCACACATTTACTAGACGAAGGAACGAGAACAAAAACTTTTTAGAGAAGCGAATAGACTGCAATCAAGACCAATGTTCGTTTAAATCCACTATACAAGATTGGCTTTCTCTCGAACGATATTCAAATGTGGGCCATCTAAACCACGCTGAATAGTGAATTGAACATTAACCTAATATGAAAAGAAAACCTATTTTTACGTTCCGATACCTACAAGTATTTACAGTCTTAATGTGTTTTCAGAATCCTCAAACCTTAACAAAAACATCGGTACTTCTTGATAGCTTGTCTATGCTAGTTCATCCCTTAATAGTTAATAGGTTCCTTAAAAGTTTAAAATGTTCTTAAGTAGTATATGGATTTATCACATATTTAAGAAGAGCGAAGTCCAATTGTCATTCCTTACCTGTAGTACTGCGTGACAACTTCTTGAGTCATATTCTTCGTAACATCGGGTTCCTCGACACGCGCGAGACCGAAGTCGCATATCTTAAGCACGCAGTTACTATTGACGAGCAGGTTGCCGGGCTTGATGTCGCGGTGCAGGATGCGGGCGGAGTGCAGATACTTTAGACCTGGCGATCAAATAGAAATGCTATGTAACATACTACCACAATTTCTTAATATACAAAGCGAGTAATACATGTACGACTCTCTTACAGATGCTATGAGCCAGTATGTTTTACGGTAGCAATGAATTCTCTGAAATATTTGTTATAGGTAGAAACCTTGTTTAACATAAAATTAAAACATAACCATACTCAGAGTCTTTGTTATAAGAAGTCACTTTTACTAAATGTATTTGATTCTGATAAAAATGTACCCTTGTTATTAAATGCACTGTTATTTCCGCAAAGCATAGCCAGAATAAACAGCTAATATTCTATTCAGATATCGCTTTAAGAACCTTTGACCGATTGTAACCGATAAATTCCTAATACAAGCAGTTTCAAATTGGAGACAATATGAAACTGCCCAAAACCGGTAAAATCTAGTACCAGTAATAGACATACAATATAAAATGTACTTCCTACATCAAAATCTAGTTTTTTCCACTCGCAACGGGACAATATCGAACGAAGATTTCCCCAATGAAGGCACTATATGTCTGCATCGTACAACATAAATATCTGCGGACCAACGTCCCACTTCTCGGATATATGAAACGTTTTCCTAACAGTGCGCCAGATTTCGTAGTCATAAATAATAGATGACAGGGGCGAGAATTTTGCTCGTTAGACGCGACGCAGCACCAGCTCTGGTCTCGAGAGATTGTCACAAAAAGCTGGCATAGCAATAAAAAGAGAATAAATTCGTGCCGAGGTGAGATAATGTTATTACAATTTAATACGAATTTTCTACTAGAAAGGATTTTATATTTCAAACAAAAGATTCCATATGCGTTTTAAAATCATTTTTTAATAAACGGATTGAAGGCATTGTAAATCTCTTATCCATAATACTAGGAGAGAAAGGATAACAATGTTTTCCTTTTTTAATCTATAAAAAGTTTGAAATGACTGCGTTAATTCTGTAGATAAAAAATCAATCGTTTTTAGTAATTTAGTTCTACAAAACACGAGACATTCACGTACCTAACTAAATTAAATTATAAAAGCTAGCTACCGTACAAAATAGACTGTTCTTGAATACTTTACCTAGCATTAGTTCTAAACAGCGGACTTGTAACACAGACGGTGCAAGCCGCAAGCCCGAATACGTTCTCCGAGTTAGAAATACCCGTGAGAACGCTATTTCACTTCCTCTACGCAAGGATAAGCTAAATAGATATAATGCACAAAGGTATATACGTTTCAGTAAAATCTTGTTACTTTTAAAGTACATATGCATAAAAGAATTTTGTTTGCCATTACCATTTACACTGATTTATAATAGTTTAACTACAAGAAGCTGCAAGTTATTATCATAGTAACGATTTTTTTTAATAAAATAAAAACATACAGATGTATTGAGAACCTCCTACATTTTGAAGTCGGTTAAAATCTCTCTTTAAGGAAGGAACTATTCAACTACGGAGAAATTCTGCAAAACGATATGGAAGCTTTTTAGTTATTATTTGCTTTACTTTCTAAATGCTGATTTATATCTCAGATTATTAACTACGAAAATATTAGGTTAAATGTTTATAAAGATAATAAACATAATCAAGATATAATATAGTCAAGAGCGCAAATGTACGGAGACAGTTTAGGGAAGCAGTGGCGCCTCTTAGCGGCGGTTGTACGTCGCAACAAATTAACGACATCGCGCTGCCTTGAGCCTCCTGCCTCGTGCCGGATATAATTTCCCAACGGATGAACATCACTTTTCACATACGCGAATCCCGAAAAAGGAAATAAAAACAATTTTACTACACAGCCAATAGAGTTTAATAAATCCAAAGGACCAATAGATTTATTGGCCGAAATACAGATTAGACCAGCCAGTTCTCCTTATTTAATAGTATTGATCAGGATCCATTGAGAAACCTTTTTTCACATAAAACTTGACCGAATTTAAGAAAAGATTTTCGAGTAGATTAGAATAGACTCGTTAGAATAGTTATAAAATATCAATACCAAGGCAGCAGAAAATTTAGGAATTTAGGCAACTCCAATTCATAAAAATTTCGCATTGTTAGGATCAAATAGGTTAATGGTGCAATAAAAGTACCAGGACAACAGAAATAACAGTATATCGTGATTATCGTGCATCGGGTGCATTAGCTGGTGAGGTGGGGGTCGACGGCCGCGCGAGAGACCGCGACGTCCCGACTCCTATCACCGCAAGGACAACGGTCCGACGCCACCATTCAGTTTGCTCGATGTAACGGCCATTTTAATTGTTTTAGGGCTTCCGTTGAACAACAATGATTTCAAGTAATTGCATTTCACCCAAGCAAATAATTCGAATCGTTTTAACGTTAATCTGTATATATCAACTCGTATTTCTACAGACGTCCAAGTGATTTATTTTATAAGTCATTCCCTTAACGAAAATGAACACTACATGCTCTCAAATCAGCTCAATAATTTATCAGAACACGTTATCAATACAAGTGTTCAAGCTCATAAGGCCCGTAATAACAATGAATCACTTTGTTTGCTCACGCCCCGGTGTGAGTTGAAACTACTTTAACGCCGTGCTACATGCACACGTTATATACAAACAACAAACCGTTAGATCAACAAACAGAAGAATTTCAGTTGTTAGTCTCCTTAGTACAGCACAATTAATATTGAAAGAAAAAAATTGTCTGAATGGTTAAATCTTAGGAAGTTTAAATTTCCAAAGCTGTGGCATGAATTAAAAGTGTAAACATAACTCATTTCTATAGATACAACTAAAAACAATACAATAACATCTGAAGAGGCAATAGTCTTGTCCACCTCAGTAGGATTGACATTGAATGTTTTATTAGAGAGTGCTACATAACACTTGAATAAGTCATGACGTACAGGCGAGGGAAACTGCGCGTTGAGCAATCTCCGATAAGCCGTGCTACAAGATGGATGTCTCATACGCCTAGTATCGGACTGTGGAAATAGGTAATACTGTCATTGTGCCCTACAATGATATATGTGGGTAGAGAAACTGACGTGTTAGGATTTAGGGAACATGTTCACGGAGATTACGCACGTCAACCACAGATACACGAGTTCTCAAAATATATTAAGAAAACATTATTGGCATTTGTCAAAAGATTTTACGTTAGTGTCTAAAGTTGTAAAGCTTTGATAGAGAGTAATTATTTTATTATGGACATTACAGGGAACGTCGTATGAATCTCCAAACGCCTAACGCTCGGTATAGCGCGTGGATGTGATGGCAAAGAGAAATGCAGAACAACGAGTCCGGTCAGGCGACGCATTTCCATAATTTCGTTCGTTAGTCGGAGCGCAACACACGATTCTATCTCGCCGCTTCGTACAGACGATATTAATTAACGAAGTTCATTTTTAAAGAATTTTAAAATACGATTGGTTTCAAACGAATCATTGGATTTATACGCGTTGTTCATGTTCGTGTTCTTTTGAAATATTATCAATGCTGAATAGCTTAATACACGCAAAAATACATTTCTTTATAGTTGTTTGAAATGCATTGGCATTTTCTAGAAACACTAATGAGTTAATAAATCGATATATGCTGTTTAATCTCTAATTAACATTGAGTATAGTAGCACATTACATAGTAAACGAATATTTCTGAAAAAGTATATAACCCCTTTACAGATTAACTTAAAAACCTATATAAAAGTGTGTAAAACTCAACACGCAATAAAGGAACTATCCCACGTAAACCGGCAATTATGTTCACAAAGTCGACGTTACTTTATAGTATGAAGCGCAGCAATAATAAAAGCATCCCTGGCATGTCGGCTGGCACCTGCACCAGTGCCCGGCTGAACAACGAGATATACACAGATACACCGGCTGAGTCCCCATTAGCATACTTGTCAGCGTCTACGGACTAGGAACGGCAATACATATTCGGGATGCAATCAATACGCCAGAATGGAACTCAAACGCTGTCTAGACCCCTCTTGCAAGACTAGGTTCATCGACTCGCTTGAATTGGTCAGTTCAAAGAAAATTATAGCTAAATCAATGGTTAATATATCAAGATGGAGTGTGCTATCTCAAATATCGAAAATTCTTGATCGTTAGACTCCGTCTAGCCGCCCCCAGCTGAGAGTAGACACAATAATGTTGCAACCAGGATACACAGTTCAGTGCCTCGCAAGCGACAAGTTGAGAAGAGTATCGAACCGGCGACGCGAAAAATATCAAATAAAAATACGAAAAATACTTTATTGTACCTTTATATTTAACGTCTCTGGTATCAATTTTTTTCATTCATCAATTCATAAATAACACATAAAAAATATATTACGACTTAAAAAAATGAATAGCCAGTATATTTCTCTACAGCTCTACTCTGAAAATACTTTAAAAGCTACTTCTAAAATTTCAGTGAGCATATAGCGATGTAGAGATGGAATAAAAGCTGTCGGCGTGCGTCAAAACCGCGTCTTTCTGGGTCGGTGGTATATTATGAAGTAATTTGAGTTCTAAGTCCCGAGGCCGGGTCGTCGAGCCGCTACTTCTATAAAGTTTTTAATTAAACACGCCGAGCGCTGGGAGCTTAACGATCACATTTTTCTAGATTCCCTTAGCACGTTCCACTCCCGGGAAATCTCTCGGTGGGCGGCGGGAGGCGGGATTAATTGCAAGAATTAATAACGCGGAATCGAGATGACTCCGGCTGTTGGGAGGTGATTCCATTCATTTGCAGCAAATATTAAGTTTGCATACTCACAAGTTTTGCTAACGTAAGGTAAACGTGATAAAGTTGAATTAGTTTGCCTCACTGGGCGTTTGCTACTTTATCGTAAATTGTCAATTCAGTCTTCGAAGGATAAAACAGTTCTTAATGTTCGAGCGAATCTAAAACTGTCCAAATAAAATACTAGTACTCAACTTACAAAAACTGTACAAATCGAAAAACTTAAGAGAAAATTTGAGCCACCCTTACAAAAAATATCTTTGAAATTTTAATTGGTTTACTGCACAGCCCCATTGCTAAAGGGGAACGTAGTTTAAGGCACGGTATTGAACTCCCTCTCCATCTGCTTAAAGACCATCTAAATTTAAACTAAAATTTATAGTCTCGGCCGCGTAAAGCTAAACCCATTTTATATTTAAAAAAAAATTGACAAGCATCAGTCAGCAAGCAAATTTAAATTATGTCAATTGTCTATAACTATTAGTGCACTATATTCGTGATTGTTTTTAGGACAATAATTTAATCAAAGATCTGAGATTATAGGTTAACAAAACACTCAACTATCAAGAAGTATTAACGGATATAACTTAATAATAGTCTCATTTAAGCCAGATAAAGTACATGTGATAGAAAAACTTTTCCCGAGTGTATAAGGGAGGCTGGCATTAAGTAACTTCCCGTATTATCCATTAGTTTGACCATTAAATCGCCTCCATATCATAAAAGCGAGCTTCGAGAGAACAATAACCTATATAACTACCTTCATCTCTGATATGAAGCTTTTGTCGATGTTTTTATGTCCGCAGTAAGTTCCAAAACAAAGATTAAGACAATTTGATGAGTCAAACGACGCGTAAAACACAAGTACGGGCGTTGGAGACCTTACATAGCTTAATAAAGCATTTATCTCTTTCAAGCTTAGGTTATTACACAAACATAATATGAATAAAATTATAACTACAATTTTTATTAACTTTGAAATTTGGTTGGTTAGCAAATTAGAACACCGTTTATTTTAAATTTACGTAATAATAGGCATAAAATAAAATATTATAATATTACAACAAAAATTTTACAATACTTCGAATCAAATATAATGCGCGCTGTACATATAGCAACAAAACCAATCAGTTTATTGATTTTTCTACGCAACAAAATAAACACAATAAAAAAAAATCTAAAACGAAAGGAATCAAATGCAAGATATATCGTAGCGTGTTAATCTGACTACACTCTCTAAAGCTTCTAATTAAGGTTACACAAGTAAAGGCGACACGGGGGCGTAAGGCATGGGGACATAATGCAAGGGGGGTTTGTACTCACCTCTTAATATCTGGTAGAGGAAGACTTTGATGTGGTCAGCTGATAGGTGTTGTGGGGACACGATGATCTTGTGCAGGTCGCTTTGTAGAAGCTCCGTTATCACATAACTGTGTAAGTACTTAGTTAAGGAAATTCAACATATTTTTGTTACAAACAAATAAGAAACCTGATCAGTCTGTTTCTGAAGTTACCCTGAATTTTATTCGTAAAAATTACAAAGGTCAATTGTTCAAATACAATTTTTAAATAACATAGCACTCAAATTGCATTATATATTTTATTATATACCGTTATACACTAATAGTAAAAACAAATTGGATATAATAAGGTATGTAAACAAACTCGCCCGGCACGCCGCCTGCGGCATGTGTACACTGTACATACGCCGGTAATGGAAACGAAAACAAAACCGAATTTAGTTAGTATTGAGATACGAGTCGCGACAAGTGGAGCGTAATATAAACGCCCACGCACGGGGAGGGTGGGCCGGAGTGGGCACAGACGCAAAGGGAATTTCTCCCCAGCCTCCCTTTCGGCTTAAAGGCAGAGCACGGAGGCTGAATACCGCGGCCCGGCGGTCGTCTCCGTTATCACGTTTATCTCCGGCGAGTATGCACCAGACCGCCCCCGCAAGGCCATTATCAAAATTACAGGACACACAGACCGTGTCGGCCAAGGGATATTTGAAATACGCAAAGCTATATCGAGGATTATACACCGCGAGTGCTTTGTTTGTGCCATTTTTTGTAAAGGCTCGATACAATTAAAGGCTTATGTAGTTAGAATATTTTACCAACAGAAATTTCACCGTATTCGTGTACTTGTTAATTGGTTCTAAAATTCAGTACACAATTTTTATATTTTTTTTTTCGTTGGTGCATAAGACATCTTTCAACAATTCGATAACACAATAGTACCAATTTTATGACGCTTTTCGTTTACTTTTCTAACTTAAAAAAGAAATTAGATTATACCGTCAGTTATTTCTCAAGTCAATTTAGTGAGGTCGGTTTAAGAAAATTGCGTGTTCCAGGATCGTCCCGTGGGTGCCGACTTCCAATATCCGAGAAACGCAAATGTTGATAAGTGTGAAAGCATTTTTTCTGTTTTATTTCAGGTACTTTTTCATCATAAATTGCTACGTAAAACATATTTTATGTAAAAATATTATGTAAAAGGTATACAATATTCAAAATTGACTGACGGTTCACTTTAAAACATGATCCATCTTTCCCTGAAAACCATAATCGGACAAAAAACGAGAATGTTATTCCAGCTACTTTTTGTACGCATTATAAGCGATGAAGCAAAGTAATTTATAATAAAGGGCGTGACGAATAACACAAATACCTCGACCTTTTATAAGAGCATAGTTTTTTTTTATCACATCGTTGGAAGAAGACTAGTCTGTGTCTATGTATATTTTAAAAAAATCCGTATAATTTTTTGTCGCTTAATAATAAAAATAAATTTACCAACATATTGAAAAATAATCAAGATCGAAATGGAATTATTTAGAGAGCGTCAGTAAAATGTTCGCCGCGCAATGTGCGATATGCAAATCCCTCATCACACACATACACACAAATGAACACACGTGTTCGATACGACGTGTCAGACACGCCGCATACATACAAAGTTTACAGGCCTACGTGTGCCGTCTCTCGGGGCACTTCAAAAGGCCCTCGTTGACCTACAAAGTTGAACCTTTCCGCACGTAAAGCACAAGTTATTTGTAGACGCTGTGCAATTTATAGTGCAGTGACGTCACGTGTCATTTTCTCATGCTGGATCAACGTGGCAAAATTGGCAACATAGTATAGAATATTGGCTTAAGTTTCCGTTGTAAACAAATTATAACCAATAATAATATTTTAGTGACAAATAAACATATCTTGGAGTTTATTATGTAAATATGTAATTTAAAAAAATTTTAAAAGATGAATTAGAAGACTTAATTTGCTTTAAATATGTACAAACTTTTGGTTAAATAATACTGAAACGAATTTCCAGTCCAGAACATAGTTAACGTTGGCGGGTCATAGATGGCGTTAGGGGCAACTAAAATGTAGAGTTCTCATTTACCTCACGCAAATATTTAAGAGTATTTGCTTTCTAAAATATAAACACAATGCACTATAACGTACTTAAATATATTTTGTTGAGACACATTTTTATTTAAAATGTGTACAATAACCACATCGTTTCAGTCAACAAGAAAAAACTATTCCTAGCTTTCAATCTTCATTCCAGCAAAATTGAAAAAAAGAAAGACTTTAAAAATAAGAAGTAACTTAAAATCTCGGTCACGTAGCGCGCATTGGCTTGATCCCTGCATCTCAATACGATACAGACCACAAAACTGGTGCACAAGGCTCAATTAGGGCCGCAACACAAGGTCGGCTTTACGGAGTCGGTTAAAGTCCGCCATGGACTGCAGTTTACAGTTGATATCCGCTAGTTAAAGCAGTTCGTGTACGGCGGATCTTATGAGCTGTTCTAAGATTGACGCAATCAAGTCCAGTAGAGTAATAACACATTCACATTCTATTTAATCAGTTATCCAATTTCCCAAAATCAGATCTCACGTAAAAATATCACGTAAGATTTTTGAGCTCCAGCTATTGGTTGTATTGAAAGAAAAAACAACAAACGTAATATTATAAAAAAATGGCTATACCGCGAAAGCAAAGGAGTGTCGCCTAGTCGGAGCCCGCTACAGGGATGCGCCCCTACGCCCGGCGTAATTATTTACTGAGGGACCCCGCCCGGCTACCCCTGCCTTATTGCGCGTTTTCCCTACGGTACAATCTATAGAATTTTCCTAAAACCCGTGAGCTCCGATAATTAAGAGGTTTCGTTATATGATAAACTGTCGAAAGACTATAATAATAATAAAACTCTTAAACTGCTTCTCCTAGCACTCCTAAGGGCGAATTCAATTTACTAGACAGCTGCAAATAAGCTTTTCAACCTCTAATTAAAAAATTTATACAACTTAATGATTATTATCAGTCAATTGCTCATCTATTTTAACCTTTAATGATATTTCCAAAGATATTATTCGTTCAGCGTCACCGAGTCGTACTAAATCGATTCCATTTTTATTATCCCGGGTCGCAGTGAAAGTAATTAAAGTCAAATTATCAACAGTTACGCGAGCCTTCAACGGCTCACTCCACTCACCTTTATGACAAAAACAACACTTAATTTCTCTTCATTCACAGTAATAAAGAGCAGACATTCGCCTAATTACGTGACGAAACAGTACCCAGAGTTATACAATGTTTATATTATTTTATGAATTTATATGAACAAGTGACTGAATGTCGTATTATCAAGGATGATGGAATGTATAAACAATTTTATAGTATTGAAATTTTATACATATTGCATCGCATAGAGTGTAATTTTGATAATGTATTCACAAGGAAGCATCTGCCAAAATATCGAATGTAATTGATTTTTTTATAAATATTAGTTGTATTACAAATATCTTTGTGGCTCTTATAGCAACTCCATTCGTAATTCTACGACCATATCCGCACTCTCGTCGTTTATTTATTATATAAAAATGTAAAGTAAATTTTCGCTTTTCTATATATTCCAATGTTGGAAGTGAATTTGAATCTCATTTTTGTAAACGATATTTTATCAAGTAACAGAAGTTAATAAATTGGTGCAACCCTCATCATCAAACAAATACCATCAGAGCACAATACCCGTTACATTATTCAGAAGTTGATGGTATACGAGTATAAAGCACAAAAACGCACTTGTGTACGCACACAATGACGCGGGCGGATGTTGTGCAGCTGTGCACCCAAACCATCACACTGCAACGCTCCTAATACATTTCGACCTAACAAAAAATCCTTCACGCACAATCGACCAAGCACTTCCAACATTCAAACCAATCTGACCTCGAACCGGTAAGCAACTAGGACGAATTTCCTTTACCTTGAGTTTCAGAATATTCAGATAGAATGCTAGTCCGTTGAAAGTTCGATTGAGAAAATAAAACGCGCCTTATCTAGAGGTCGATTAGCAAGAAACATTGTGCGTTATCGGACATCTCTGCCGCGACCGATAGCTCGTTTGTCGTACACAATTTACTACAACATTTATCGAAACGTCTTTTTACTAACTTTTAATGCGAGAGATAATGTTAACGGAGATTTTACTGTCGTTAGATATTCCTTAAAAGTGTTAGAAATTAATTAAGGGTCTGTTGGTGTGATCTACCATGTCAAGTTAATTTTGGTATAGAAAAACAATAAGGAAAACAAAGGGAGACGATTGACTGATGAGTTATAACATAAATGCTAGTTCAAAAACATTTGATTACACATTAAATTCTTTATTTTCGTCTTATTTTTACTAACATTTACTGAAACGTACAAATAAACCTTCAAGCATTAACAATACCAAGACAGTTTTACAGTTAACATACTCAAAACGCCTTTTTGATGTTAATTACAATGAGTAATATATGAAGATTCTCTTAAAATGTTAATCAGTGTAAGTTTTTGTTTTGGTGATGACGTAACATTTCCCTTGTTATAGTCCCTTTTATAAGACTAAGCACTCAAGTGTCCGGAACATACATTTTTAAAATGAAGTAGCGAAGAAAAAGTCGACAATGATGGATCATCGACATTTGTATTTTAGCTGGAAACTGTAAGCTTGGCATCATTTGAAAATGTGTAACAATGAAGAGACGTTGAAACATAGAATACGGTACAGTTTAAAATGTGTAAAGGAACCAGTATTTTTTATAAGGAGTATAAATCTAAAAAAATTAGTAGCGTAGTAAGTTAATGTCATCAATTTTCTTTCTACTCGAACACACAGGGTTATGAAATCATCTATATAAAGTTTAAAAAAACAGTAACAATTCATTTGTAACACTGAACATCAACGTTAAAATAAGAAACGTACAAATGGAACAACGATAAAAAGTGTAATAAAGTCGTAAATTAAAAAAAGGGTTCTGCAAATGACTATTGGTAGCCGCAAACTCGAGCATGTCGCGACGGGGAAGACATTGACAAATCGCTAGAAATCGACCAAGCAACATACTGGATGCCACATCAATAACCACTTT